GTGCAATAAAGCGTTTTAGAACAGCAAAGGAACAACCAGGTGTCATACATTGCGAACAGCGTAACGACTGGATCATCCAATACTCCAACCCATTACAAAAGCTTGTTTTTGATGACCTATTAACGTGGCGCGTACTCACTGCAGGCATAATTGTGTATCGTTGTCAGCCACTGAATGAGCACAAAACTCCTTGCAAGTGTTTATAGCGGATACCACACTTCTCAGAAGATTGAAGAAAGATAGCAAAGCGAATGCCGGCCTACTACCCAGAAATTATGATTAGTAATGCCATAGTGGGTACCCAGCAAGTGTGCTTCCTGCAGTTACTTGATGAGTTTTAGAAAAGTCTCTGAAAGCCGCTCTTCTAGCATTCGCTGTGACTGTGCTTCGCCTTCAGCGCAGGTCTGGCATTTTTTTGTTTGTTTTTAGAAAGGTCTGATGACGCGGTTTCACGTGTTCTTGTGAATTGTCCACCGCAGTGGAGCAGTGACTGGGGTGCTACGCTGCTGAACCGAAGGTCGTTGGTGCGGGCCCTTCCACGGCGGTCACAATTCTATGGGGGCAAAATGGTCGAGGCCTATGTACTGTGCGATGTCAGCTTAAATAACACCAGATGGCCGAAATTTCCGGAGCCCTCCAATTACGATCTCTCATAACGATATGGTCGTTTTAAGACGCAAAACGCCTATTATTATTATTATTATTATTATTATTATTATTATTATTATTATTATTATTATTATTATTATTATTATTATTATTATTATTATTATTATTATTATTATTATTGTTTTTATTTAAGTTTCGTAAATTGAGTAGCCATGGACAGATGGTGGGCTTACCAGGCAAGTGGACTACGCTGGCATGTCACCGACGAAGTATTCACGTTACAGTATGGACGTCACTTTATGGCGACGAAGTGTAAGCGGCCTCTGTTGGCGTATGCCTGCCGGTACAAGCAAAACAAGACTGTAGCTTGCTGAATGATTACAGTGCAAGAGAAGACATGGCACGAAAGGACCAAAGAAGACGAGGGCTGACTTCCAACAAAAGTGTCTTGTGAAAGACAAGTAATTCATGAAAAAGACAGTTCGCGATAAGCACCAAAGCGTGTGTTAAGAAATACCACGTTCCGAAACACGAATTCGTTTTTCGTAAATTGCTTCTTTTTCGCGACAAACTTTTGTTGGAAGTCTGTGCTCGTCTCCCTTTGTCACTTCGTCCCTTGTCATTCTTTACGCTGTGATCACTTTCGAAATGGTACACCAACAAGTCAGTCCTCACACCTTGCTTTAGTGTAGCTTGCTGAATTGTAGGAGTAAATATGTAATGTTTATTGCATTCTTTTAACGTGCGTAACCAACAATGCAACCAACACAGGTGTTGGAAAACCGTCGAAACCGTTGTCAACCGTTGACGTTATAATGCATTCATTCACGATCGGCACGCCGCGGTGTCTGGCTAGGTTAGTTACAGCACGTTTACCGGAGTTTGTTTGCTGCGTTGAAATTTGCAGCTGTAATCAAAAGCATGTCTTTCTCTTATTTTTTAGCCAACTTGGGATGTCAATTAAAGTGCTCCAGTGTCTATTTTAGTTACTGTCGCGTTGACGTAGACAGAGAATAAAGGGTGTCACATAGCACTAACATACTATATACGGGATGTGGTATGCAGGTGCATACCTCATGTGTAGAGGGTAGAGGTTTTCATGGCACGCGCGACCACAATGACACGTGGTTCATATCATGACAGACAGACAGACAGACAGACAGACAGACAGACAGACAGACAGACAGACAGACAGACAGACAGACAGACAGACAGACAGACAGACAGATGGACGGACAGACGGGCGGACGGACGGACAGACAGACGGACAGACTGACAGACAGACGGACGAACGGACGGACAGACGGACGGACGGACGGACGGACGGACAGACGGACGGACGGACGGACAGAGAGACAGACAGACAGATAGATAGATAGATAGATAGATAGATAGATAGATAGATAGATAGATAGATAGATAGATAGATAGATAGATAGACAGATAGATAGATAGGATCAAAAAGTTTGCCTCGCTAAAATATGCATCACATTTAACATGTTTAAAAATTAGTTCCCCTACGTATAAGTATAGTTCTCTTAGTTATATAGTATGGCTTTCTTAGCTATATATTATAGTTTTCTTAGTTATATAGTATGGTTTTCTTAGTTATATAGTATAGTTTTCTTAGTTATATAGTATGGTTTTCTTAGTTATATAGTATAGTTTTCTTAGTTGTATAGTATAGTTTTTAAATATGTAGTATAGTTTTCTTAGTTGTATAGTATAGTTTTTAAATATATAGTATAGTTTTTTTAGTTGTATAGTATAGTTTTTAAATATATAGTATAGTTTTCTTAGTAGTATAGTATATTTTTTAAAATATATAGTATAGTTTTCTTAGTTATATAGTATAGTTCTCTTAGTTTTCCCCCTCTCAAGGCAGCCCTGAATACTATCGTTTCACGAATACTACGTCATCACCTGACCTCCCTAAACAAACTGATGCTAAAGCACGTGCTACAAGAATAGGAGAAAAAAAGGAATGCCTGCTAAAGGTTACGAAGCATTCGAATTCTTACGTCAACACCTACAAATGGAATACGATTGGCCGTTGTAGTCTTTATCTTCCATTTTTATTCTTTTTTTATGGTTCAACTGCCCTTCGCCACAAATCCCACAGACAAGAAAAATCGCTCACAAATACGCCTTTGGTACATCTGCATTACAGGAACGGCAACACATTTGCGGACAAGGTTGAAGCTTATTTCGCCCCGAGGCGTGCGAAGCGAGGATCAAAACACGAATGCGACAGAAGCTGAACCGGCAAAGAGCGATCGCTGTGGCCTCACTAAAAGGGGGATGGCCGCTAGGAGCGAGCAGGCAACAAAAGCGACCGGGAGAGCGGATATTGAATAGGCTCCGGGTGTCGGGGCAGGGCGGAGGCGAGACCATGCTGTCGTGCCTCCCTGTTTGTCTTTCGCTGCGGAGCTTTATGCCGAGTGCGGTGGCGGCGAATATTGCGCCAGGCCTAAAAAGAAAACACAGAGAGAAAAAAAAAGAAACAAAGAAGTGATGACACTGTACGAATTATGCGCGAATGCGAGAGGGGCCCCTCTACCTATCCGGGGCTGCTGTCGCGAGCGCCCATGGCCTTATGATTTGTTCCCGCCAGCCTGGCCTCCTAGCCCTTAGATGACTGTAGGAAATATAAAATAAAAAAGAAGCAGACGAGAGAAACCGTTTTTTTTTTATCTCGAAAAGAAAAAAGTGCGTGAATAGGTGTGCCCTCCAAATGATATGAGCTGATGTAAAGTCAATGAGACAAAACAAAAAAAAACCCTAAAAAAACAACAAATTTTCGCCACTGTTTTTTGTGATGAGGTTACTTTGTGTTTTAAAAATGTATTTGCAAAGTGCCATGTCAACATAGCTATAACTTACATTGTAACATAAATATTTTTAACCGTATGTACTTATAGTAATGACCTGCTATATTGGAAGCCCACAGCGCATTAGTTTCTTTATGATTGTCGGAAACAAAACTCCATCTGTGGAAGCCGTTTTTCCTCCTCTCGAGGCAGCCCTGAATAGTATCGTTTCACGAAAACTACGTCGTCACCTGAGATCCCTAAATAAACTAAAACGTGCGTATGTAGCAAGATGGTATTTCTAAGCGCGAGAGCAAAATGTGGCCAAAGAATATCATGGACATGAGCGTTCAGTTGTCAATGACCAGTTGCGCAGGCATTGAAAAATGCAGCGTGACTATACAGATAACGAAGCTCAATAAATGTGTAAGTGCCTGAAGGGTATACAAAGATGAATGAAAACAGCAATGACCGGGGGCATTGACTACCAGCAAAATCTTTATACATCTGTAAAAAAGCGGCAACAAGTTAATACACATGTAACTTTCAGCACTACCTCTAGAGACATGACGGTGATCATGCAGAGGTCTGATTCTTGCAAAGCTTTGCAGTGAAACAGCAAAGGTTATTCGATTATTCGGTCGCTGTGGCAAATGTATGCTTTCTTCCTTTAGAGCACACTTATGCTCAAGGAAGAAAAAAAAAAAAGCGACTAAGCTTGCGCTAAGCTGAGAAAAGCTTGAAACAGCGTTAGTGAACGATTCTGAAGACCTCCCCGCCGCGGTGGTCTAGTGGCTGAGGTACTCGGCTGCTGACCCGCAGGTCGCGGGATCGAATCCCGGCTGCGGCGGCTGCATTTCCGATGGAGGCGTAAATGCTGTAGGCACGTGTGCTCAAATTTGGGTGCACGTTAAAGAACTCCAGGTGGTCGAAAGTTCCAGAGCTCTCCACTACAGCGTCTCTCATAATCATATGGTGGTTTTGGTGACGTTAAACCCCACATATCAATCAATCATTCTGAAGACCAATGTGGTTGCGTCTATACTTTCAGCTATGCGTCGCTAGGGTTGTGCTTACGTCGATTCTGAGCGCAGAAGAGCTCGAGGTGACCCACAGACAATCACAAACACTACAGGGATGTCCCAACTCCAAAAACAGGAACTCGCGATGAAACCAAGCTTTCGCACCTTTAATAAATCTACAGGCAGGTCGTAGTTGGAGTATAGGGCTTCCTATCGCCTCGGAATATTTGTTGCAACCACCATTGCCTCTACCATTCTTAACATAATCTCGCAGTACGCCGTCATAGCACCGTCTTCGGCTCGCCACAGTGGCTTCGCAGCCACTTGTTGTTGTTGTTGTTGTTGTTGTTGTTGTAACACCCACTTGTTCTTGGACTGACTGTTGTCTTGTTCTTTTTTAGTGGACCAGCAGTGAGTTCTAGGCTTTATCTAATTTCTGTGGTACATGCCCGTTTATACAGATGATAGCATTCTGATAAGCCGCACATATTACCGTTACTTTAAACAACTTGGCTGTTAAAAAATACAGATGTCGTACCACTTTCGCTACGACGTGCAGGCTTCTGCTGTGCCGTCACCATTCGACGCCTCATCGTGCCTCGCTGGGTGCGCAACGGAACCGAAACGCCAGCCGTGCTCGACTGCGAGTACGTGTACAACGAGAACGACCTCAAGCTGGTCGTCAAGTGGTTCTTCAACGACGGGCCCGAGCCCGTGTACCAGTGGATACCCGAGATGAGGCTCCGGGAGGCGTTCGGCGTGCTGCAGGGTCGCCTGGACGACACGTTCTCCGTCAACTCGCGCGACGTCTACTCGCAGTACCGCGCCATCCGCATCCTGAGGCCCACCTGGGAACTCAGCGGCAAGTACACCTGCATGGTCACGTCTCTCGCGGGTCAGGACGTCCGGCATCAAGACATGACCATATTCGGTAAGCGATTTCGTCGATGTAGCATTGCCCTTATAGAAAACGAATCCTATTCGCCACATGTGCGAGAGCCACGTGACCGCGTAGTCTCGCCTGATGCTATGCTACTGCCAAAATTTGAATGAAAGGGAAATGTGTCTAGTGTTGCGTAGGTACAGATGCTGTGCCTTCATCAGTGGTGGGCTAGTATCACTCGAGGCCCAGTCTGCGTATATGTGGTTCTCAATATTTTGGCATCATTGCTGTCATAACCAGAATAGATTACGCCGTGGCGCTCACAGTCGACGTCATACGGGACGTTTTTGGTCAGATCACGTGACTTTCCTGCTTCTGACGGGGACCCAATCTTTCTGTGCTAAACTCTTTAGGCGACGCTAACATACTTTTCTTCCGTTTAGGTAATTGTCCCAGTAACGTGACAGTATTTGTTGGTTTTGCTATTACACAATTTTCTCATTCTTCCGAATGTATTCAACAAACATGTATCTATTCGCGGCGAGATCGGACTATAGGTGGCAGCACCGTTCCCGCGAAATTGTGGATAGGCGGTCGGCGGAGCATATACAAATACAAGCAGCGGCGCTTCGTTGCGTGTGGTCTGAGCCGACTGTCGGCGGATAAGATGCGTTGACTGGAGTTTGCTGGTAATATGTACGCTATTTTCTAAGAAATCGGTGCATGAAGCTTATGCACGTTTACCATCACCAGCCAGTAAAGTGCATTTTGCCTGTCAAAGGGATGCTCACCCTGGGTGACTGTCTGCGTGTTCCCAAACTAGATCACGCTTTTGCTGCGTTATTTGTACGCGTTTAGCTTTATTCCGTTATTACGCACTGCTGTGGCGTAACTCAACTACTTATTTACTTCTTTCTCATCTTCATAAAATGACAACAAAAAAATTGGTTCCAAATCTACATGTTACACCGCAAATGTAGTCGAAAGACGATAGTCTTTTGTCTGGAGAGAGTGAACAAAACGTTTATTTGATGTTCTGCGCAAGAAAATTGGTGAATCGTATTCTGGAGGCGCTGCCTTAGAGTGCCTCGAGCGTGTAGCGGAGGCGAACGAGCCCATCGAGACACGTTTGACACAAGCGCCGTCTGGCAGTTACCTCCGATAACAATGGCATGCAGCCCGCGGAGAAAGATGCGTGGCAGTCTCGGAGGTGATAAGGTGTAGAACGCAAAGCGACGGGCAGGTGCCACCACCGTGACGTCACAGCAAAGCGTTGGAAACACCTTTTTGAGCATCGCATTGCACTATCAGCGCAGCGCGATAAACGCTACATTCCTTAGAGTTACTTGTGTGTGCCTCTTCTAGAATAAAGGCAGACATACAAAACTCTGAAGTCTTGTTATGGCGCCTCCAATATGTGCAATAATTGCTTTTTAATTGACAATCGCACAACTATGAACCTTAAACTTTGAGCAATATTGGTGGGCGCTGCGAATGGGGTTTGCCGTTTTGTGCAATTTGAGGTATCGTTTGAGCGGACAAACATTCAAATGTACAGACAGACAGACAAAAATTTTTCCGTCGAAGGTCCTCAATAAGGACTATCGTCTTTAAAAAGGTCGTAGAAAGCACGCATATCTGTGTGAGGAATTCAGTACCACCGTTCGTGCCTATACACATATGCATTTTTTTTTTTCATTCTGTTCACCATGAAATGTGGGACTGTCGATAAGTCTAGGCAGCAAAGCTTAGTGGCGGACAGCGGTTTGCGATTTATTGCGTTTACTACGCATACGTACTTGTAAAACTTTGTAGAGTTCAGCACAGGGCTTTAATCGATGGATTAGATGCACAACAGAGCTACAACAGAGCTATTTTATGGGGCAAGCATGTTTTGTTTCAAGCGAGAATGACCGCTGTTTTCCGTCGGTCAATAAAATTCCACAGAAACGTTCAAGACAATGTTAAAAAGATGACATTTACCGTGAATTCATACAACAATAAATAGGCATGCCGTCTGAATTAATTTTGAACGTCTGGGCTGTTTGAAAACCTAAGCACACGGTTGCACCCGGCAACTCCGTTCTAAGTACAGTTTAAGTACCGAATTGTCCCTGTTTGTGTGATAGTAATATTATAATCGCCATATTCAGACTATTCGACCTTCATCCTCTGTGTGGTGGTAGCATGGTCAAATAAACACAACTATGGCTCTTCGCATAGCCGGTAAATTACAGCGCCATAGTTGCACACCTACCAACTCCACGCAAATGCGTGGCCTAGAGCTTTGTTTTTTCGTTTACAACTGAGTCGCTAAAACGCTGCATTCACACACTATTTAATATTCCTCATGATTGACAGTATGACAAGGGCATTTTACTATAAGCTTGAAGCAGAAAGTGTGGACGAAGCTAAAGTTATTCTGGTGAATCGAGGATACGACGACAATAAACAGCACTCTGGAAAGTTGAACTCACCGATCTTATTAAAACTCACTAGCAGTCCAGGCGAGTACAAATACTTTCGTACGTCGTTTCAGGCATACGTACAAGCACTTACGCTCGCTCTGAGATAACCGGATAAACCACTCTTCGAGAACGTGCATGACGGAGGCGCACATAGAAACACGACGTGGCTAGCAGACGACGCATGGAGCAATCCACACTTGCGCACTTCAGCGTGTTGCCGCTAGGCGACGACTACGTTGATCTCAATCAATCAATCAATCAATCAATCAATCAATCAATCAATCAATCAATCAATCAATCAATCAATTATTAATTAATTAATAATAAATAAATACATAAATAAATAATATATAATTATTAGTTAATTATTTCATTTCTTTTTCTACTTCAGCAAGTAGAGGCCATGTGAAGAAAAATCTCCTGCGAGCTTGACTAGGCTTCACAGCCGGTCAAAGTTAAGCAAGCAGTGATAGCGTACAGAAACTGGCATACGCAAATAAAACCAAATAAATACATAGTCACCGGAAAACACTACACGTGTTCAATAGCCTATTTTTCTTGCCTTTGCATTATCCACTAACCTTTGATCCTTGTATATTGTTTCGCAGTGCCAGCCAAGTCCTTTTCCTTCAACTACAGCAGCCCTACTCCTGGGTCCCCATATCAATCCCGGTCGCAGACCGCGGAGAACGCCTTGAGGCTGCTGTGCGTGGCACGGGGCACCTACCCGAGGCCCCAACTGAACCTGTATCTCATCAAGGGTGCCAAGAGGAGGTCGGCGGACGAAGCCGGCTTCCGAACTTTCACAACAACCACTGTCGAAGAGGGGCTGTTCGACGTGGTCCTGCACGCCGATATGCCAGACAGCCAGCTCTCTTCGATAGCTGATCTCTTCGAGTGCGTGCTGGAAATACCGCACAGCAACTACGCCATGACACGTAGTATGAGCATCGCACATGGTGAGCTGTTTTTTTCTATTTTGCACTGCGCTGTACTGGGAAGAAGAGGCAAATCCTTCGTGTCTCCACAGCGAAACTACTTGGGGGTGGTACCTTGAAGACGAGATAAACGAAACTAGCGACACAGCCAGACGCCTCCGGTATCGTTTCTTCTCTTCTTTTCATCCCACTGTTTTGATGTGGAATGGAGGCTGTTGACTAAGGAAGATTGAATTACCACTTTGATGTCCAGATAATCTGGGAAATCGGAACTCAGTCTTAATTAGTCGTCATATATGGCATTATCAGAACATAAAAAGCTACCGAGAGTATTATGGCTTATGTATCATATATAGACCATTAATGACATTATCCTCAGTGGCAACATTCATATAGCTTGTGTGTCATTATTGAGTACACGTTTCTTATTTCATTACGAGCATCGCATTGCCATGCTGTGTCTGCACTCCACCCACAAATCACGGAACGTTATAGTCACGCCGCTCACTACGTATTTTGCTGCCAGCCCCCTAGTGATTGCACTGCCTCTTCTATTCTAAGCACAGGCAGCACAACTGGAATACACAGATAGCTCAAATTCGACGTAATGACTGTCCATCAAAACTAACGGACCTGTCGTGGAAGTGTTTCTTCCAGGTGAGACGCTGTTGTTACCATATATTTAAAACTCTATTTCCTCTTAGGTAAACGCAGTAAATTTATTCTTCGTGAGTAAACAGAAAATGAGTACAATCGAACATCGTATACACTATAGCGAACTTCAACAAACAGCGCGACCAACAGGCTGATTGATTCCTCTTTTGCACTGTCGTTTCTTTTTCTTTGTTCTTGAGATGTCCTCAAGGCATGTACAACTGATAAGCCCTTTACGCTGCACTGAATTTTTCGGTTGGGCACATGCTCATCAAGTGTCTGCTATAGCCTAGACAGCAACGAACTATAGCGTAATTCTATTTGGCTGCATACGCAACACCACTCTGTTTAATTGTTGCTAAGAACTCGGCCAAGAGCAAGATATAAATAGGGTGTAGTGCCCTGTCCTATCACTATCTTGGTTTCCTCCATAGCATACTTGGCCATAATAAGAACAATTCCATGCCTGAAACTTGGCCCAACTTTCTTCTCTGACGAAGTATATAGAAGCCAGCACGTACTCTGTGGAGCAAGGTGGTGATCTCTGATAACCATAGCGATCCCAATTATGGGTGACGGGTGTTTGAATGACAGACAGGTGGTAAAAGAAGCATTTCGCATTTGTGTAAGGGAGTGTTTGCGAATACAGGCAGCACTGCTCGATGAAAGACCAGGACAAAGCATTTGTAAAGAATGCTTGATGGCATTTGAGAACGTTTTCTTGTATGGCATTCGCTATTTGCATTCCAGCAGCAGCTTGCTTTACTGCTTCAAGTCTGGATAATAAATAGATGGCTAATCGTCGGAAGGACACTACAACGTTGAGCAAAGTTGTTGAGCTAGTTACAAAGGCATACATTCCGTTGTTGCTCGATTAAGTTTTAATCAATCGCCAGTTCCTGACCTTATGCTGAACATTTTGCGCCTAAAGGTTTGTAGTCTAGGTGAATCATTTCTTTTATTTCCCTGAGTGCTCATGTAGATTGCAGTAATTATTTTTGACTGTTCTGTTCATGTAACTAGGGCAGACAAAAACAAGCTTTCTCGTATCATGATTGTGTCATACTTATTCTCTCCCTTACAGAACTCACGTGGGGAGCTTATGGTAAGTTTAAATTTATTTCAATTTTTTTGCTCTCCCACATAAATTCACCACTGGCCGGGTAGACAGGTAATTGTTTATAATTTTTAGTGAATGGTATTCACATGTACACATCGCCGCAGAATCGTCAATTCAATATTATAGAAATTAATTTATCATTGCGATGCAAAATACGCTGTCAAAGCCTGAATAGACCTCGCAGTTAAACATAACCGCGCAGAACTTAAGATATTTTGCTTACTAACCCGTAGCGTTAGGGGTCACTGTTGCAGAGGTGTGCAAAGGTATACTGTTAATCTAATTAGCTAAATAATGCTTTACCTGCCCGCAGTATTTGAAATTGTGTTGCACATAACTTCGAAAGAAAAAGTTAGCATCGACATTGTTTTGTTGTCATAAAAATAATCGATTCAATAAACCACGCGTGTTTTATGATAGCAGCACTTCGTAAATGACTGCCAGCTGTAACTGTCATATTCTCTAGTGCAAGGCTGGTGCTTCACGTTTGAACTATGACGATTCCACGGCTTGGTATGATGTGTTCACTCGTTATGAAAAAAAAGCATCAATTCGTGCTGACAATTACGTGAATACTTATAGATAAATCTATGCTATACATACGAAGGTATAGGAATGACGTGGAAGTGTTTGGGCACTTTGGACTTTTTTTTCTTTCAAGAACAAATATGTTTGAAGCCAGCTCAGTGGCTAGATGCTTTTTTATTTCCATAGTTACACGTGCTAACACACAATCTACTGTTGGAGTGACTAAGTTTCATGTCATACCTAATTAGGATAGGAGGCCACTTAGACTGAACCGAAAAGCTACCAAGTTGTGGTTGGCTGAAATAAAACATACAATTAATCTTTATTAAGTAGTTTAGAACACCAAAGTTGTTCGAAAATAGGTTCCGTTTTGCAAACAGAATTACACTTTGAACAATAGAGAAAGACAGGCTAGCGTTGACTTGTTAGCTTCTTTCATTAGTGTGTTGACTGTGCCTGCGTTGTAGTCAATACATTAGATGTTTCGAGAAAACAGTGATTCTGAACACGAAACCGATTGTTAACAAATGAGCAGCGCTCGAGACAGTTGACTGCTGCAACATTTCACTGGCGTGGCAAGATGTGCGTGGGAAGATACCAATTAAACTTTGGAAGAAGCCTGCCAATGTTCATAAACCGTTCGTTTTGTCATATCTGGAATGATGTGCGAGAGTAGGATAATGTTTTTGCAGGTTCTTCTGGAGCTTCGCGCATGCCAGTCCTGTCGCTTTACTGCGTTGCCTTGACAATAAGCATCTATATGGTTTCCACGCTACACAGAGGCGGTAAGGAATATTGTGAATATCAAATGTCCGTTACGATGAGCTATATTAAGGCAAAAAAATATCCGCTGTGCTGAATTGAAATGTGCCCTCTTTATAACAGAGCATTTTGTGCCAGTCTGTGTGGGGCGTAGGCAAGTATCCAACCTGCATCTTAAACAAACAAACAAACAAACAAACAAACAAACAAACAAACAAACAAACAAACAAACAAACAAACAAACAAACAAACAAACAAACAAACAAACAAACAAACAAACAAACAAACAAACAAACAAAATATTAGTACAGAAAAAAAACATTGTAGTGGTGATATTGAATAATTATAAAGAAACTCGTAAGATGCAAATTTTCAATAAATAAATACGAATATCACTACTTTATATGGCATTGCGTACAGATTAGTGGAACTCCTAATAGTGTCAGCATTGATATAATTTAGTTCAAGATAAATAAAATAGTTTCAAATTTTTTATTTTGCTGAAAACAGTGCCTAATATTACGAAAACACTAGTTATCGTAACTGACAGCCAGGTGTGTAGACAAACAATCATCTTCCGTGCGGGGAAGCAGAAGGAAGGACAAGTACTAAGAAAGACTCGAAAACACGACACTTGCAGCAGCTTTGTTGTTTCCAGCGTGCGTGTGCCTTTCTTAGTCTTACCGTGCTTAAGGTTGGTTCACACCGGCTACTAGCACCAGTCGCGCGACCATTTGCGACTGGCGACCAAAAAGTGACTAATGTTCATACCAGCAGAGGCTGCAAGCGAGCGACTGGCAGTCGCAAAACCAGAGAGTCACGCCCGGATCTCGTTATCAGAGATAACTCTGGAGACCGGTGCCGATCAGCTGATCGCCGCCAGCTGAGTGGGCGGAGCAAACCGAGCGCGCCGCATTTCTTGTTTTCGTCCATTCTCGCCATGGTGCAATGTTTGTATCTTACACCGTGGTTCTCGCACTGCTTTTCCAGCAGCGTCAAAGAATTTAATTCAAGCGAAGAAAAAGAGATTGTAATAGCGCTGATGTGCTATTCCATGGTGTCAGCGATGGCAGCACAGAAGCCTACAAAAAAAAAACAAAAACAAAAAACTGGTGGGTGTGATTATCCCTTCGCTCGCGAGAGTTGGCCGGCCATGCAAGCCGCCTACTTCCCGAACTGTGCTGAGATGGCGAGGAATATTTGCGACGATGGTACGTATTCAGAAACGTTCCCTGAAATTAACTTGAGTTCTCACAGCCTCCAATGCAGCACGAACGCGTCTCGAACGTGGTGTCTTTAGTCGGTGCCAAGGCATGGAGCACAAACGCGTTCCAAACGCGCTGCATGGAAGGCGGTGGCAAATCTATTTCAAGACAAAAAACCATTCTGTATACGGAGGAAGATATAGTGAACAATTGATTTTCACTTCATTTTGACGATGTTTAGCTTCTTGCGAATGCTGCCACGTAAATTCGACACCTTGCTCGAGCTGCTGCACCCCGCCATCTCCAAGCCAAGTACTCCGTGATGGCCATGGTGCCACAGACCCAGAGGAACACACTCGTTTGTATCTGGCGACAGGAGACCAGTGCAACGTAAATCAAAACAAAAAAACAAAAACGGAAAATGAGCCTGCATATAAAGAAATGCTGGTATCACTTGTACGGGTTTTGACACTTTCCTGTGAAGTTGTTTGCGCCGCGTGACGCACGTGTGCCACGCAGAAGCCGTACTTTGTGGTCACGGCTATCGAGTGATCGGTGGCGTTGTGTACGCGAGCGGTGATCACCCCTTTACCATACCACTATCAACATCTTGATGATATAGCGCCGGCGGCGACAAGCCTTGGTAGCGGCGAGCGAAAGATGAGCTGGTCTCTTCGACTGGTGGCGTTTGGCGCGAACGGTTGTCTCTCGCGGTGGGTCTGCCGTGGATGGCTCTGCGGGCCGCCTGCGGTGGGCCCACGTGGTGAGTGAAGCGTTGGCGACGCCGCCTTTTGTGTGCCCTTGTGTTAGGTTGTTTGAGTGTATGGTAATTTTGTGTAAGGATGTCCTAGTGTGTTTATCGCGATTGATGTTATAATTATTCGGCTGACGATATCGTCGATCAAAAAGTAGTTAAATAAATATGTCTTTGGTTTGGTCCGACCGCGTCTGCTGTTTCCGTTCACTCCAAGAGCGTGGCGCTCGCCATGTCGAGACCGCACACACTTCTCGGCATCGCTAATTGGCTCCAGCAGTTTCGCGACTGAAAATTGAGCAAGAAGCGACTAGCCAAAGCAGTCGCTTTGCTACCATTTGGGACCATTCGCGACTGTTTCCGACCAGTCGCAAATGGTCGTGCGACCTCTGTTAGTCGCCGGTGTGAACCAACCATTACTCTATTGCAACGCGACGAGAATTGTAACGCAAGGGGTGGCCTTTTATTGCGTCCAGGAAGAAAAAAATGAGTTGCGGTATTCATAGTGTAACGTGAGGGTTGAACTTACGTCACAATAACGGGAAAAAAGAAACCGAACTATAGTGTTACATTCGCGTAAGTATATTGATCCTGAGTGCAGTTTCACCCAGACGGTCTTGCGTGGACGTAAGTAGAGGACATGTCTTCTTCAAATGACATTCAACAAGTAAGAAATTGAGTAAGTCTAATCAATGACTCAATTGCTGGGAAACCTCTATTTCGACCATATATTACATGTTTGTTACCCTCTTTCAATTTTTTGTATTGTTAACCTTGTTGAGCTCATAGGAAAGTGTCATAGGAAAGTGTCATAGAAAAGTCAAGGAAGACTCATAGGAAAGTGTCTTGTAATGGTTAAAGCGGCATAATGTTAGAAGAATACGCTATGGTTGGCCGAGACTTGTGTCTTTTTCGGACCCTCTAACCACAGGGACATCTGTGATATACTTTTCTGCGGCGTTTCTTTTTCTCATGTGCAAATTAATTTGTTAACATAACTGTGAAAGTTTCACAAGACATCTGAAATTTTCGGGAGTACTAACATTTGACTGTCGCCATCTACAGGCGACCGTGGCGGGAAGCGCTACGTCAACAAGGATATCCCAAAGAGAAAAGAGGACACGTAGCGAGCGTGGCAACGTGCAACAATCCACCACTGCATTGTACTTGCGACGAGTTCTGGAAGCAAGCCTCGACGAGGACAATGTGCTTGCACGGGATGAATGAAAATTACCGCCAACACTGTGTGTACGTTCCCACGAAACCCAGCAGCAACACCGAGGATGTGCCATTACTGCTTCAAGTGGCAACGTTCGAGCTAACGCCGCTGGCGAGAGGTCAATGGTGAAATGGCTGCTTGTGACGTGTGCATGGCAGTCATTCACGCTCGTACACTGGTAAACTGCTCGCTCAGTCTCTCCGATGGAAACGGACCTTTGCGTGTGCCAGTGCGTGCCGGGATGTTTTTACGAGAAAGTGCTGTTTCTGTTCTACGTGTTCCTGCCTCATTTGTTGTACTCCGCTGCGGCTTTGTTAACGCTTAGATGACCTCGGAGGTGTCTTCACTGCGGTATGCCATCACTGCGCGGCAAAAAAAAAGTGATGCACAGTACGGCCAGCCGTGAGGATTGTGAATTCGTGTCGTTGGGATGAAACTACGAACGAGAGCGCGTGCTTGTTTCCGTCTAAATAAAAGTGAAGATATATGAACTGGAATGCTGTTTTTCAAGGACAATTATTTTGTGTGTGAAAGGTAATCATGTAAACTAAACTCCAAAGGAGGGAATTCGCAGCGTTGTGAAGACTGTCGTCAAGTATAACTACTGAGTCCAAATGGAGCCATGTCCAAATATAACGAAACAGGGGGGTGGGAGGGGGATGGAGAACATCTTTTGAATGCTGTCAGTGGACGGTGCAGTCGAGGCTCCTGAGAAGAGGTAAGGGAAGCATAATTCATCTGCATGCTGCAGAGAATGAGGATTCTGCACAATAAAGAGCAGGCCAAATTTTTGCCCTATGATCTCGATATTGTTCATCGCGTGCCTACCCGATCTATTGACAAGAAAAACATCATTGCTCGATTTTGTTCTAGAACCAAGAAGGCCGATTTTGTTAGCAAAGCGCGTAAAGCCAGGCTCTGTCTTAGTGATATAGGGTTGTCTAGTCAGTCCAAATTTCCCGTATTTGTAAATGAGCATCTCACTGCCTGTAACAAGACTCTCTTCTCCAAAGCTCTTTCATTGAAAAAAGAAAAAAAATGGTTGTTCCTGTGGACTGACAACTGCCAAATTAAGGCCAGGAAAACAACTACTAGTAAAGTTCTACGCATTCGGGACGAATCTGACCTAAACAAAATAGTATAAAGCTGTTTGTTCTTACTTTGGATAGTACAATCATGGCTTCCGTACTAAAACCAGATCAATTGCACTCTTTTCTGAATGGATTTCATTCCATTATTCACTTTAATGCAAGAAGTCTTCATAAACGGTTTGACATCATTGACGGTTTCCTCACTTCACTTTCTTGTTCATTTTCAATGATTGCCATCACTGAAACTTGGTTGTCTGACGATGACAAAAATCTATATTGCTTTCATAACTTTAATTCTGAATACTGCAACAGAATAACCAGTAATTACGGTGGTGCTGCCATATTTGTTTCTTCTGGAATAGCTTATCGTAGAAGACATGACCTATTCTTAACCGTTGATAACTGTGAGTCTGTTTGGGTTGAAATAGATAACTGCTTTTTGACTGGTGACAATAAGAACCTCATATTTGGTTGTGTTTACCGTTCTCCTTCATCACCAATTAGTGATTTCTGTACTAATCTCGACCATATTTTGCATAAAATTTCAATAGAAAATAAAAATGTTGTCATAATGGGTGATTTCAACATTAATTTACTAGATGAAGGATCACCCATCTGTATCAACTATACTAGTCTGCTTCATGGTTACGGATATGATTGCCTGATTGACGCTCCCACGCGTGAAGATTTTTCAGGCTCATGTACACTCATCGATCATGCTCTCTCTAACTTACTAGACCCACCAGAGGCAAAAGTTTTACACATTGACATCAGTGATCATTACCCCATCATCCTACGCTTCAATACTAATGCTCGACCGCATTCCTTTTCTCACACAAGATATGTGCTGGACAAAGAAAGTTTTAAAACGGCTGTTGCTAACACTAACTGGACTGAAATTAAGTCAATAATCAACCCACAGAAAGCTTTTTCTAAATTTCTTTCACTAATTTCAACGCATTTAATGAAATTCACTTTCAAAACAAAATGTAAAAAAATCATCGCCTTCTCTCATAATCCATGGCTTTCGCAACAGCTATTAACAGAAATGCGCAAACGAGATAACTTGTATAGAAAAACTAAAAAACAACCTTTTAATAAGAACTTAAGTGCCCGATATAAAATCTTCTGCAATGCTCTTAACTACAAACTTAAAACTGCCAAAAGACTTTATTTTGAAGAAAGAATCCAACATGCTTCTAGCACTAAAAAGAAATGGGAGATTGTGAACTCTTTTTTAAACAGGAACTCGAGACAAGACGAGGTACGTCGAATTATAATTGATGGAGTAGAATATGATTCCCCTTCAGAAGTAGCTGAGGCTTTTAGCAACTTCTTCTTCCCTGATAATACCAATTCTCCTACAGAAAGCATTAACACTTCTCGCTTACCCCACTCATTCTTTTTATTTCCTACAATACCGGATGAAATAACTGATGTTATTCGTAATTTAAAAATGACTAGTGCTGGCATAGATGAGATCCATCCTGCTAACATAAAATCTATTGTGCATATAATATCAGACATTCTTTCATTTATTGTTAATTTGATGTTCAAGAATGGTGTATTCCCTTATGAATTAAAGCGTGGCAAAGTTATCCCTGTTTTTAAAAAGGGGGATAAATCATTACTAAACAACTACCGTCCTATTTGTATTTTACCATTCCTTGGAAAAGTGGTTGAGAAACTCATTGAGACACGACTAACTAAATATCTTTCCAAGTTTAACATTATCTCTTCCTCTCAGTTTGGTTTTCGCCATGGCTACTCAACAGAGATGGCGCTTATTCATCTTACTGATCAGATAAAAAAATTAATAGACGAAGGACGCCTAGTTGCCTCAATATTCATCGATCTAACAAAAGCATTTGACAGCATAAATCATAATATTCTGTTCACTAAACTGGAGTCCATTGGCATTTGCGGCCCTGCTCTTTCATTACTAAAAAGCTACTTACACAACAGAGTTCAAGTTGTTTCTATTTCCAACGTCTATTCCGACAGCGAACCACTAACATTGGTGTGCCCCAAGGCTCCATTTTGGGGCCACTTCTGTTTTTGATTTATATTAATGATTTGCCCAAGTGTCTGTCTTCATCACAATGCATTTTGTACGCCGACGATACCACCATATTCACCTCTCATAAAGACATCTCATCTCTTGTAACCATTTTGAATACTGACTTAGAAAGTATTTTCAAATGGTGTAATACTAATATGTTGTCTATTAATGCTTCTAAAACCAAGTTTGTTGTTTTCACCTCACACCAGCGGAATGTAACATCAGCACCTAATATTACTTTTGGCCCCCACTCTATCTCTCCTTGCTCATTTTCTTCCTTCCTTGGCATCCTTCTAGATTGCAATTTAAAATATCAGAGACATATTGCTCACATAAAAAAAAAATTAGCATATGGTATAAGAGTCTTGGTAAAAACGCGCCCGTACTTCTCACGCAGCACATTACTATCCCTCTATCACTCTTTCGTACATTCTCATTTTACCTACGGTATAACATGTTGGGGCAATATTTACAATACTCACATTTCGTCTCTTCAAATCGTCCAAAATCATGCTATTCGACTAATTACATCCAGCCCACGTTTTTCTAATGCTAAATTTTTACTACATGAAAATAACATCCTTACTCTCACTGAACTTACTAAGTTCAACCTTGGCATTTTTTCTACAGACTTCTTAATAATCAACTTCCCCCTACCATTTTCCCGTCTTCTGATCTTGTTATTTATAGTAATACCCGATTTGCACTAAACAATAACTTCCTTCTACCCAGTATACGTACTAATTATGGCAAACAAACTGTTAAATTCACTTCTATCTCATTGTGGAATACTCTTCCACTTAACATAAAATCTATCAGTTCATTTCATCAATTTAAGAAACAGTATAAATTGTATTTGCTTCATGCGGACTAACCATAAGACTTACTGCTTGTTTTATTTGACGTATGCTTTTGTTTGGTCTGTTTTTTGTATTTCTTTTTATTTGTTTTTTTTTTATTTCCTTTTATTATTTAGTTTTGTATATTGATTGTTAAACTGTTCTATCGCTTTTTTTTTTTTGTACTTCACACCTTTATTTTGTTTTCTCTATTTTTTATGCGCTCAGTTGTACGCTTTGATTTATACTTACGCTCCTGTTGCTTTAATGTGTTTAATAACTCATTGCATTTGTACAGGAGGTCCCGATACAGTCACTTGACTATGGGACCTCCTTCTGTATACTAAATTCCTGTCACTTGTACCGAATTTTATTAATAAATTTCTGATTCTGATTCTGATTCTGATTTTCCGGGGGGAGGGGGTCATTTGTTGAAGGCATTCATAAACAACCATTTTTTATTATTTGACATCGGGCAAAACGTCCACCTTCATCCGAATTTCAGAGGGTGAAGGGACAGGCCTCTAAGGCATCCCCCTCCCCCCCCCCCCCCTGCCCTTTGAACACGGGCCTGATAAAGAGCCTAAGGTGGCTGGCTCTTCGCAGTGTCGTTCCGACTACGCAGACGACGGACGCAACTATGCTGCAAGGTATCCCAAACGAACTATCTTGGCAGTTGCGGGCTGCTGCTTGTACTTTATGTAAGTACCGGGCCGCTGGTGGCGTTTGATTTCTTGACTTCGTCTTTCTTGGCGCTACATTTATGCCGTAATGCATCAGGCCATACGCGCTGTAGCGCGAAAAGACTCGTTGGCCAGTCCTGAAGGAAAGAAGTCCGTTTATTGCCAATTTCAGAGGCGAACTGTACTGAACCCGTGCGCGTGCCCCGATTTCCCCTCTGCTTCCTCTTTGATAAAGTGCGACACGCTCGAAGTTGTTACGTTATTATTTTGCAACATCCTCCCAGGCAGCC